ACTACATCTCTAACTAGATACCTTACTCAAATTGGTCATTCAACCATGACATGGATCAACTACTTCCATGTCGCCCACACAGTACTAAGGGATTCAACTTTAAAACAACTTTCAACTTATCACCTTAGTACTATGTATCTCAACATAGGACATATATCTTCACCATATGTCGCCAACTTTCCAACTTTACAACAATAGGCAGCTTTACAACTTTACGACAATAGGCATCTTAACAACTTTACAGCAATAGACATCTTAACAACTATAAGCAACTTACAACAATACAACTATAGACATCTTACAACAATAAGCAACTTACAACAATACAACTATAGACATCTTACAACAATAGGCAACTTACAACAATACAACAATAAACATCTTACAAAAATAGACAATTTTCAACTTTATAGCAATAGACATCTTTATACTACTTAATTTAAACAACTACAGTCAACACAATATCAACTTTACAACAATGAATTACTTCAACTTATACATCTCAACTTATTAATAATTCAACAATTAACAACATAAAAACCACTTAGTTTCACCAAATACACAACATATAAATAACGTAAGTCAACAACTACTCAACTCATCTTCATCAGGCAACTTAGCAACTTAACCACGTTATAAACAACTTCTGAAACACAAGAACAATTACATGCAACCAATAATTTAAATCAATCATCTCTTTTCTTTCAAAAGCAAAACCAACTTTTTAACTCAATCCAGACCAACAACTTAACCATTTTGAAGGAAAACAATGCATGAAGCTTCCCTAGCCTAAAGATTGGCTCAGCATTGCCAAGAGCTTAGAAGAAGTGGAATTTCCTTCCGAAGCTCAACCCAGGAACCTCCATCTTCCAAAAGCAAGCTTCCTGGTCCAGAGTCCTTCTCTCTAAAACTTCTTTTTAAGTTCCCCTTTTCTCCCCCCTCAATGCCTATTTATAAAGGTTTAGGAGTGGCCAGAACGGCCCGTTTCGAATCCGGAACGGCCCGTTCTACACCCCTTCATCATGTGTAAAAATCACATGCAGAATGACCCGTTCTGAAACGAGAACAGCCCGTTCTGGTACTCATCCAGAACGACCCGTTCTCTATCCAGAACGACCTGTACTCCCTCCAGAACGCCTCGTACTCCATCTAGAACGGCCCTTACTCCATCCATAACAGTCCGTTATCAACTACGATTTATAGGTTAATTTAGTAATTTAGAACGGCCCTTTTCTAGATTGGGAACGACCCGTTTTGAGCTACTAAATCACCTATATTGGACTTTTGGACCTTCTGAAATAACTTACTACGTTACAAATTTATTCATATAAACTATTAATTAAGTTTTTTTTTTAAAAATAGCTTACATATAAATTTATTTTAATTTGTCAGAAATTTAATTTATTTTCTATCTTATTTTTTTTTACTATATAAGGGCTTATTAATTTTTTTTATCTAAATAAAACCTAAATTTAAGACAAATAAAGTGTAAAACTTTTGAATCCAGATTTATAACGTAGCAATTATTAGTCATAGATTAATCTAGAGATATCATGTTATAAATTTGGTATGATAAAATTTTACTCGGTCAACTCTTAAATTTGACACACCTTATGATGCTGAATTTAAGCTATTGTAAAATTCATTATATTTTTAGCTTTTCCAAAATAATGATAATGTCATAATGATATCATGTTTTGTTGTTAAACCAAAAAGTATTACGTTCTGTTATCCTATATATATGTTCAATTTAGAATTAAAATGTGAATAGATGTCATACGTTTCTAGATTATGAGCATGACAACTTTTATGCACGACAAAAAGAAAAAATGCTTTATCAATTTCGGGACGACACCTTTTCATTTGTTCTAATCCTTAATGTTTGGTGTAAAAGAAAACCCTTAATATTTCAGGTTTAATGAAATATTTAACTGTTTCATCAATATATTTTCTCATAATTTCATTAGAGCAAGCATACCAGCAATAAGTGAAATTTAAAGTAATTTTTTAATATATTTTTAAATGAGGAAGATATATGATAGATTTTTTTTATCAATAAAATTAATTTGTTGATGTATGTGTGTATATATATATATTCTTTTTACTTTATAAAGATTAAAAATTATACTATTTTGGTTCCAATACCCACTTAGTTTGACTCGTATAATCTACTTCGCACTTCTCATTCGAGACTTGCTGAAATTGATCTTGATTGCTAAAGTTTGTTTTTGTTTAGTGTTTTTTCCATATTAGAACAAAAACTAGCAGATAATAACAATTTTTTGTGGTTGGTAGGTTTAAAATTAGTATATTTTTTTTTGGTTCGTTCTGAAGTATCCACCGCCGACAAAACTAGTGTTTTAATATCGAGCAAGAACAGTCTGCACCACTATTCAACAAAACAAGATATTTCTTCCATAAATGCTTTCCGAAAGGAGCGTTTACAAAAGAATTAATTTGTGAATCAACCATCTTTATACTTTACAATTTAGAGAGAATTTTCCGTTCGTATGTTTAATTATCTCAAAATTTTACAATTTTAATTTCTACCAGTTAAGATAAAATTTGAATTAAATTATCAATAACTTCAATGATCAATGTTAAGTGTTTTCTGCATACAACCACAACGTTTTAAACTTTATCTCTCTTTTTTTTTTTTTTTTTTTTTTTTTTTTTTTTTTTTTTTTTTTTTTTTACTTTTCAGTTTTTAAATACTATTTAAAAATTCTCGTATGAACGACAATCACTTTCACTTTTTAATAATAAATGTGCTGTTTTAACATTTTTGTCTGCTCCGAAACATACGACGGATCCATAAGTATCTTACCCATAAAGCTTCAATATAATAATCCTGAATGCATTGAAGAATCCGACAGTTCTCTGAAAATCCAAATGTGCAAAGACCGGAATATGAATATATTTTATAAAAGAGCATCAAAGGTAACATAGTTTAAATCAGTTTAAATCAAACCACACATATTTGGAAATATATATATATATATATATATATTCAAATGTATAATATATGTATACAAAAATTTTACATAAAATAAAATGTGTTTTTATAAAAATGTAAACTACTAAATTTTGTTTTCTCTCTCTCCAAATATAAGTTATAATATTTAAAATGTAATTTATAAAATTGTAAAGTATTAAACTGAATTTTAAAATAAAAAATTATTAATTATTTATAAAATTGGAAAATAATTATTTTTAAGTGACAAATTATATATATATATATATATATGTGAAAAAAACTAAAATTACATTAAAAAATATTTTTATTAAAATAATAAGATAAAAATTGTTGTTAAATATATGATGTTATCAAAATATTTTAATATTTGTATACATTAATTTTATTTTTGACGTACAATCTTAAATAATAACATAATATTATTATTTTTAGTTGATTTTGAAATAAAAAATTTCAAAAATCACAAAAATTAAACCAAACAAAATCATAAAAGATTGATTTGGTTTGATTTGAATTTCATATTTCACTCACCACACTTC